AAAAATTAGGGAAAAGCATGTTAAATACTACATTTACTTTTGTTTTATTTATTAAATGTAAAATAATATTTTTAATTTAACTTATATATAATCTCTTTGTATTCATATTAATTTAAGTACTTTAAAATAAATAAATTAAAGAGAATTCCAGCTTCATTTTCTTTTATGTTAATCTAAATTAATTTAATATGATATCAGAGCTGATTTTATAAAATAATATTTAATCCCAAACACACCTTTCGCAGATCCAACTGATATTTCATCTTTTCTTTAGCTTTTGCAATTTGTGTTATGTTTTAGAGTAATCGTATAATTTCGAGAAGATATTTGTTTAGTTTCTGCGATAGTTTTTCAGTTTTTGCAATCTAGCACTTTGTTTTTCGTTGCTTTTGCATTCTAGTTCTTGTTGTTTGTTAATTATGGCTATCAAAAGAGATGATTCACTTTAGTTTGTGAGTGCGAGGTTGGATGAAAAGAATTATTCATACTGAAGTTATATAATGAGAACTTTTCTTAAGGGTAAGAAGATGTGGGGATATATTAGTGAAACTTATAAATACCTAAGAATACTGATGAGGGAGATGTTATTTTGATATATACATGAGAAGCAAACAATGTAAAGATTATTAATTAGATCAACAATTCTGTTGAGCATTCCATAGGTACATAGTTGGCGAAATATGAGATAACAATGGAGGGTTGAGATTATCTACAAAGGGTATTCATACAATCAAATTTTACAAAGTAGTATCAATTAGAGAATGACATACGAGCTCTTCATCAAAATAATATGAGTATTTAAGAGTTTTATTCTGCGGTGATAGATTTTTGGGATCAATTGGCTCTCACAGAATCGACAAAATTAATGCATGTGGTGCCTATATTGAGCGTAGAGAGCAACAACGATTGATACAATTTTTAACAGCACTTCACAATGATTTTAAAAGACTTAGAGGTTCAATTCTGCATCGTTCTCCACTACCATCTATTGACACTGTTTTTAGTGAGTTATTGGCTAAAGAAATACGTCTCTAGTCTTATTATATAAAAAGAATTCTCTCTACTTTGAATTTTTTTGTGTTAGCAGTACCCTCTAAGCCATTCTCTAATAATCAAAATAAGTTTTACACAAGAGTTGACTTTGATAGGTGCAGTTTTTATAAGCAAAAAAGTCATTGGAAAGCCTAGTATTCCAAGTTGAGACAAAAAAATCAAGCTTTGAAGCATAACAGTCAATCACAATCTAATACCCATAGACCACCTCAAGATTATAAACCACCACACCACAATACTATAGTAGTAACTTCACTAAGCTCTATCACTAATCCTAATACTCTAGCTGAGCAAATTTAAAAGTTTCCTTCCTTATAGGCACAAGCAATGTCTATTTCTCTTTTCATAGGTTAGTTGCCTCATAATTCGTTAGGTATTTCATATTCTAAATATGTCTTAGATTCTCGTGCTTCACATCATATGTCTCTAGATTCTTCATCTTTTACCTTTATGTCACCTTCGCCCTCCCTTCCTGTTATGACTGCTGATGACACTCCTATACTTTTAGCAAGTATAGATTCTGTTATCACACCTCACTTATCTCTTCCTAATATTTATCTTATTTCGAAACTTAAATTGCATCTTGCTTCCATTAGTCAATTATGTGATTATGGTGATTATTTAGTCACTTCCTCTTCTTTTTTTAGTTGTGTACAGGATCTGCAGTCTCAAAAGTTGATTGGGAGAGGCTTTAGGGAGAATGAATTATACATTTTGGATGAGTTAAAAATGTCAGTTGTTGTTGTTGTTGCTGCTACTATTGATTTATCTTCTTTTCGTTTGAGTTATTCATCTTCTAATTTTTATTTATGGTATTCTCGTCTAGGTCATGTTTTGCTTCTCGTTTGAGATTTTTGGCATTCATAGGAGCTTTAGAGAATTTGCAAACTTGTGTTATTTCTGATTGTAGTAAATGTAAACTGATAAAATTTTCCATTTTACCTTATAATTGAAGTATTTCTGTTTCTTCTTCACCATTTGACTTGATTCATTATGATATATAAGGACCTTCTTTTATTACTAAAAAAAAAGGGTCTTGATATTATGTTTTATTTGTTGATGATCATATTTGTTATTGTTGAGTTTATTTAATAAAACATCGATTTGAATTTTTTAAGATATATACAGCCTTTCGAGCTTTTCGAGCTCTTGTCAAAACTCAACGTTCCGTTGTAATCAAATGTTTTAGGTGTGATTTGGATGAAGAATACACCTCTAATAAATTTAATCAGTTGCTTGCCTTAGATGAAATTATTCACTAAACTTTATGTACAGATACTCCTAAGTAAAATAGAGTTATTGAAAAAAAATATAGGCACATTGTCGAAACTGGTCATTCTTTCTTGTTGTCTGTTTTTGTTCCTAGTGAGTTTTTGAAAAAAATGTATCCTTATTGCTATAAGTTTGATTAATACCATTTAATCATCTCATTGCTCGAGTTTGTCTCTTGAAAAGTTATATGGTTGTGTCCCTGATTATTCCTCATTTAGAGTTTTTTATTGTACTTGTTTTGTTTTTCGTCCTCATATAGAACGTAGTAAGTTGTCCTCTCGATCTGATATTTGTATCTTTCTGGGTTATAGTAAAGGTAAAAATAGGTATTGTTGTTTTGACCTAATAACTCAGGAACTCTATGTGTCTCGTTATGTTGTCTTTCTCAAGCATATACCTTTTTTTTTTCTTATTTCATCTACTACTCATAACTTGACTAGACCTGTTCTTGTTCATATAAATCTTTTTTCTAAGGATTCTGATAGTTTATCATCTCAAGTTCCTAGTTCCTTAGATACTCCTTTTCATGTTCAACTAATTTGTACTTAAAGTTTTGCATATACTGACACTTTATGCTTCAGCACACCTGAAGATCCATTCTTATTTACAGCTCCTCAAACATCATTTGAGACTGTGGATCCACCTATACGTCAATCCATACACATTCATAAGTCCAAAAAACTACCAAATTTTGCTTATTCTTGTTATTCTTCATCATTTACTTCGTTTTTAGCTTCTATTCATTGCCTATCTGAGCCCTCTTCTTATAAAAAGATAATTATTGATCCTTTTTGGCACCAGGCTATAGATGAGGAACTTTCTACTTTGCATAAGACAGATACTTGGGATCTAATTCCTCTATCTCCTGGTAAGAGTGTTGTTGGTTGTCGTTAGGTGTATAAGATCAAGACTAATTCTAATGGGTCTATTGAGCGATACAAAGCTAGGTTGGTTACAAAAGGATACTCTCAATAGTACGGTATGGATTATGAGAAGACATTTACCCTGATTATAAAAATGACTATTATTTGTACTCTTATTGCAGTAGCTTCAATTCATCAATGGCATATCTCTCAACTTGATGTTAAAAATGCATTCTTGAATGGGGATTTTCAAGAAGAGGTTTATATGATGCCCCCTCCTAGTGTTTCAGATGACTATGAGTATGTTTTTAAGCTTAAAAAAGCATCATATGGTCTTAAACAAGTACCTCGTACATAGTTTTAGAAATTCTCTATTGTAATCTCATCTCTTGGATTTGCTTCTAGTAGTCATGATTCTACTCTTTTTATTAAGTGCATTAATGTAGGTCGTATCATTCTATCTTTATATGTTGATGCCATAATTATTACTTGTGATGACATTAATGGTATTTCAATTTTGAAGACAGAATTCGCTAAACAATTTGAAATGAAGGATTTGGGTTATCTTCAATATTTCTTGGGTGTTGATGTAGCTTCATCACTTAGAGGTTATCTTCTTTCTTAGTCAAAATATATTGTAGATATTCTTAAATGGGCTAGATTTACTAATAACAAGACTGTAGATATTCCCGTTGAGGTTAACGCAAGGTATTCTTCTTCTAATGGTTTACCTTTGATAAATCCTACTTTATACCATACTATTATTAAGAGCTTGATAGGTCTCACCATTACTCGTCCAGATATTGCATATGTTGTTTATATTGTTAGTCAGTTTGTTTTTTCTCCTACTACTATTTACTAGGCAGTTGTTCTTTGTATTGTATGATATCTTTGAAGTGCAATCTTTAAGAGTTTTTTATTTCCATCCACCTCTTTCTTGGAGCTACGTACATACTCTGATGCTGATCATGGTAGTGATCATATAGATTGCAAGTATGTTACTAGTTTCTTTTTCTTGGTTATTCTCTTATTTCTTAGAAGAATAAGAAACAATTTATTGATTCTCAATCCTCAACCGAAGCAGAATATCGTGGTATGACATCTACTACAAAGAAGATTGTTTGATTATATTGGTTACTTACTGATATGGGAGTTTCCTTTTTTCATCCCACTCCTATATATTATGACAACTAGAGATCTATTCAAATTACTCACAACTCGGTTTTTCATGAGTGAACTAAGCACATTGAGATCAATTGTTATATTACTCAACATCATTTTAAGCATGACACCATTACTTTGACTTTTGTTTCTTTTTCCTTGCATATTACAGATTTTTTTATCAAGTTGCATTCCATCTCTCGTTTTTGTTTTCTGGTTAGCAAATTCTCGATACTTGTAGCTACCGCATTGTAAGTTTGAAGGGAGATTTTAAATAATACATATATTTTTGTTTTATTTATTAAGGGTAGAATAATATTTTCAATTTAACATATATATAATTTCTTTGTATTTATATTAACTTAAGCACTTTAAAATAAACAAATTAAAAAGAATTACAACCTCCTTCTCTTTTATGTTTATTTTTATTTTATATTAACTTAAGCACTTGGATAATAATTAATGGGTCTATCATTTAGTTTTATACGTACTCTAAAAAACTCCTTAAACCTTAACTTCCCAGTATTCTTCAATGTTATATATAACCTTAAACTAGCTTCCAAGCTATATGTATTTAGAATAGGAGTCGAAAAATAGCAGAAAAGGAAAGCCTCCCAAGAGAAAAACAGAAGCAATTCATGATTCAAAAATAATAATAAAACACGTATAGCTGGATGGATTTAATCGTGAGAACAAGCTAGTTGTCTTTCCTATCTAGGGTTCTACAAGTCCCAGTTTAAACATATAAAAATAGGTCTCAAATTAAGCTACGACTTGATGATGAATCGTCTGTTCTTAATTAACCAATAATCACCAATTAAACAGAAATGTTTATGCTTACGAAAAATTAAGACAATTCAGTCAAGTTGTCCCGAGTTCAATATGTTGTAGTTTCTCAGTGACGATCATCTTTTGGAATTCCCTTGAGAGCGCCTCTTGGCTGCAGTCCAAACCCTTTGGCTTCTGAACTCTTCATGATCCTTAGCCTCTTGCAAGACTCAAAAAACATCCTGCGAAATTAAACAAAAAGATAAAAATTTCATAAGTAACTGGTTTTATTCCCACCCCCGCAAGAAGTTAATTTAAATCCTATTGTTCTTTAATGGAGCATCTAATTGATTCGTTTTCTTGGAATATGGTTAATGCGTTGGCATGAATTTGACATTAATAAACTACATAATGGAAGACAAATTATTTTGGAGCTTAAGATATGGTCATAATTGAAAGAAAATGTTGCAAGAATCACTCGATCATAATGATAGATGCTTTGACATTTAGGACATCATCGCCGTCTACCCTAACAATTATACGCAAGTTGCGTTTGTCGGTAGTATGTGGCCCAGACTTGCAAGACAAATCCGTATACATACTTGCAAGTTGCATGACTTTTTGCATGCCAAAATTACCTCTATATATCTATCCACAAACGATATTAACGCCTCATATTCAGGCTTAGTCGCGAAAAAGAAGAAGAAAAACAAAAGAAAAACCCAGATCTCCACTCAAGAAATTATTTCAAGAAACATAAATAATTCACTAGACTGAGTATTACTAGCTGTGCAGCAGTCTGGTGGTGCACCTCCTGTCATATTAATTTCCATTTTTTTAATAATAAAGGAGTTATTTGAATTTATTGTTAAACCGTGGATATTAATTAATATTAATTAAACTACAACTTACTCACGTATTATTCTCCAATCCTTTCATTATACGTGAACTTCATATTTATTGATTTGATTAATGAAATTTTCACGCAGTGCTTAGGATCAAGCAAAAATCATTTCAAACAAGTCATATCGTATGTTTTGGATGCATTGAATTAAAAGAGTATTTGATAGTGCGATAATAATTATTTTTTAAAGTATTTTTTATTTAAAATATATTAAAATAATATTTTTTATTTTTTAAAAATTATTTTCAATATTAACATATCAAAATATTCTAAAAAAATTAAAATAATAATTTTTAAAAAAATCCTTTTACAACACAAAATGAAACATGTCCCAAACAAAGACCGACTATGAGTAGACTCTCCGGCCAAAAGTACACACCAAACCTGTACTCGTAATTTACGCACAAGTCACCGAAATTTGAAGAAAGAATATCCCTCCAAGTAATAGACGACATTGGCTTGTCCCCTGTTATTAAGTCAGCCGTTAATGAATGTGTACATGGGAATTCAAATTATGTGTCGGTGGAAGAAGAGGTGGGGGGTACAGAGGATTGCATTCCAGCTTCGATGGGTACACAGTACAGTCAGCAGGGTACTTTAGATGAGGGAAGAAAAGTTCCACATGATCGTTAGAGGCCAAACAAGGAAAATGAAAATGTTGACAGCTAACGGCAGCATAGCTAATACAATTAACGAAAGTGGTTCCTCAAACTCTCTCAATTCGGGAATCCAGCAAGGGAATGTTCGGTATTGAATAACTTGCAATAATAATTGAACTCACGGATTTGATAGTGAAAAAGAGGTTCAGGGAATGATACAGGATGCAGCTGCATTGGGATTGGGGAATTCTCGGGAACTCATAGTGTATGAAGATGGATCTCATAGGTTATATTGACAGAGAGGTGGATGAATGGGCATCGGTTAATCAGCAGCAAGTGACGATGTTGCTCAGTTCTGTTTTGATATGGTTTTAGAACTTTTTATAAATATTTTTGCTTGGAACTGCTGTGGTTTGGGCATGGTTGGTAACAAGCGCAATTCCATTAGGAATATGTTAGTAAACTATAATGTGGGAGTTTGCTTTCTATTCGAGACTACTAGAGAAACGTGTTCTAACTTTTTTATTTTATTATCAGAAATAGGTAGAATGTTGTTAATGTCAAATAGGTTTTCTTAGAATGTATAGGCAAATCAGGGGGCATTATTGTGATGTGGGATGGTTTTATCTTTGAGGTGGATAACATTGAATTAATTTTGGGGGCCATGGATTTGTTTATGCGACTCTAATGTTAAGTCTTCCTATAAATGCATGGTAGTTGGTGTCCATGCAGCATCTTGTTTGTGAGAACGTGTTAATTTATGGGAAGACATTGCCATTCTTAAGTATGCTTTTGATTTGCAGGATGGTGGTACTTGTTGATTTGAACGAGACCCTTTATTCTCATGAGAGGAGCAGCGGTTATCTCAATTATGCAGGCTCAACTTCATTCCACAAATTCTTATCTGTGTGTGATTTGATAGAATTTAATTTGCAGGGCCATCGGTTTACATCGTATAGGGGCGGATCCATAAGTCGCATTGACTGGGCTTTTGCCACTCCAGATTTTCATTTGCAGTTTTCCACTTTAACTCTCTGTAGATATCCGAGGGGATTGTTGGATAATTGTCTGTTGCTTCTCGAAAATTAAGAGGTTGACTGGGGTTGGAAGCCTTTCCGCTTCATTAACTGCTAGTTGTCTCATCCTTCATTTATGAAGGATTTTGAGGTTTTATTGATTGACAGTTGTAGGGAGTTCCCGGGTGATTATAGATTGGCAAAGAAGCTAGGGATTTTAGAGAAGAGATTGAGGTAGTGGAACAGGTCTACTTTTGGTGACCAGAATTACGAACTTGCAGGCGTTCAGCATGGTATAAGAAGGCTTAAAGATTTAGGTGATTTGCGTCCTTTGACTGCAGTTGAGAAAGTTAAGCTTCAGGGTCTCAATTCTAAGCATTGGAAGGTTAGTAATAAGGTGGAGGATATCTAGAGGCAGAAATCTCAATTTAACTGGTGCAAACTTGGGGACAAGAACACTTGGTTCTTTCATTTGTCAGCTATTTTGAGGAAAGACCGTAACAATATTAGTAAGATTGAGCAGGACTGGAACTATCTACGATCTCCGAAATGACATTAAAGAGGCCGTTGTCAATTTTTATTATAATATGTTTGCTAAGCCCGATTATAGATGGATTGAAATGGCTGGCTTGAGGTTTAAAAAGGTTTCAGAGGCATGTTTGGTTTGGCTAGAAAGACCTCCATCAATAGAGGAGGTGAAGTAAATAATGTGGGACTGTGGTAGTTTGAAAGCTCATGATCCAGATGGATATTCATTCTCCTTTTATAAAAAGGTATGAAATCTTATCTACTGTAATGTGTTTTTGATGGTCATAATTATTTTTCAAACTACCTGGTTGCCCAAAGGTATTAGTTCTTCCTCGGTAACGTTGATTTCAAAAATTAAGAGGTTAGATAGGTTTTCTCAGTTTCAGCTATTAGATTGATTTATGGGTTATACAAAATAATGGCAAAGCTTTTATATACTATGTTTTAGAATGTTCTAATAGATATTATCAATGTCAATAAGTTATTTTTCTTTGCAAGATATTAGATTTTAAATGAATTTATGATGAGTAATAAGATTATTCATTGGATTCATAGCAAGAAAGGTCAAAAGTTTTTTAAATGAATTTATGATGAGTAATAAGGTTATTCATTGCATTCATAGCAAGAAAGGTCACAAGTTTTTACTAAAGATGAATTTTCACAAAGCATTCAACTTGATTTTGTAGGAATATGTTGATGTCTTTATAAGTTAAATGAGATTTGATTCTCTAAGAAAAAAATTGATTTTTAAATATTTGTTCACCTCTAAAATAATTATTTTGATCAACAACTTTCAATTTGGTCTAGAGAAGGGCTAAGGTAAAGGAATCCTCTTTTCCCTTTATTTTTGGCTTGGTATTGGAAAGTTTGACTGTTTTATTTAATAGTATTTCATATTCAGGTTATTTCAAGGATTTTCAGATTAATTTAAAGTATTATATAATTTATTTGTATTGTATGTGACACTTTGATAATTTTGTTAGATAATTTTTTTTTTATCAAGAAAATTATTCATTGGTTTGAGATCATTTCAGATCTTAAAGTTAATTTTTATAAAAGTTTTCTTATAGAAAATTAACTAGGATGAGGATTATGCTTTAAATTTATCTAATGTGATTTTTTTATTTAATGAAATTAGTTTACACCAACTTTGATATTTTAATTGTTAAAATTGTGATAAATGATATTTTTTTTAGTTATTTTTCAATCAATTTCTATTTTATTTTTTAAATTTAAGGACTAAAAAATAAATAAAATAAACTATTGAACAAAAAAAAAATCATGAATTTGGGTATAGCTATATATTTTATATGTATTTTACATTTGAATCATCTCTTTTAACTCTTAATAAAGAATTTGGTCAGGGCTAAGGTAAAGGAATCCTCTTTCCTCTTCTTTTTTTTTGGCTCGGTATTAGAAAGTTGGACTGTTTTATTTAATAGGACTTCATATTCGGGTTATTTCAAGAGTTTTCAGATTAATTTAAAGCATTATATAATTTATTTGTATTATATGTGACACTCTGATAATTTTATTAAATAATTTTTTTTTGTATATCAAGAAAATTATTCACTGGTTTGAGATTATTTCAGATCTTAAAATTAATTTCTATAAAAGTTTTCTTATAGGAAATTAACTTGGATGAGGATTATACTTTAAGTTTATCTAATGTGATTTTTTTATTTAATAAAATTATTTTACACCAACTTTGATATTTTAATTGTTAAAATTGTGATAAATGATATTATTTTTAGTTATTTCTCAATCAATTTCTATTTTATTTTTAAATTTAAGGGACAAAAAAAAAAAAAAAATAAACTACTGAAAAAAAAAATCATGAATTTGGGTTTAGCTATATATTTTATTTGTATTTTACATTTGAATCATCTCTTTTAATTTGAAATTTCTAGTATAATTTTAAACTTAATATCATCTTACTAAATCATAAAAGGATTCAACGGATACAAAATTAAAAGATGGGATTAGAAAAAGATAAAAAAAAATTGTGCCAGCTGCTTTGAACAGTGAAGGAGCTGTAGGTTTTGAAGGAGCTACGGAAACCCAATTAATTTATATATATAATTTATAACATGGGTGTGTGTTTTATGTGGTTTTTACAAAATTACCTCAACACAGCAGTTTCACTAAAGACAGTAATATCAGCACTATCCTTTCCCCAGTACTATTAATGTGAAAAATTGATTTTTATTCCTCGTGGACATAACTAGAAAATTATTAAATAGCAATATAATTAGTAATGTAAATTTTTTTATCAGTCATTTCCAATGATAATATTTACAAAAAAAATTACGTCGGCAAAATCCAGTGATATTACTATTAATTTTTTTTAAAATCCCTGATGATAAACCACTAACTACATGTTTTTATTGAAAAATTCATCAGTAATCTTTAAACCAATAAAAATATAGCTTGTGTACTTAAAGAATATTTTGCCAGTGTAAATAAATTCTCTAGTTGAATTATGGACATTAAAAGGACGCGTGATGAGGCATAATTGAAAAGATATGTCGATCCTCTGAAGGAAAACGATTAAAATGATTAAAAAAATAAATTAAATACAAGGAGTTGTTGTTGGCTAGAGAGACTTACTCCCAAGGCCCGTCTCCCACTAGCATCCAGTCTCCATCCTTGTCTTCATATATGGGAACGTATTCATCCTTCGAGGCTTTGCCTGCCCATAGCATTTACATAACAAATAAACAATGGTCATTTACTTTTTTTTCTCTCGTTAAACATAAATAAAGGATCATAGAAATAATAAACATGGATCTCTTAATTACTCTAGAAAATTTCATGGTATTCTAATTATTTGTGAAGCAATCTTATACATACAACCAAATTAATTAAGGAGCCATGGAGCCTTAATTAATTAAAACAATGAGACAACATGCTGCTTCGGACTCCCGTTCATTAATTTGCACAAGCAGGATTTGCACCCAATTAGCTTGGTGGGTGTCGAAGTACAACGAAACAAAACAAGAGGGATGCCCTTGGAAATGAAATATTTAAAACTAGTCCTATAGACTGATAAATTGTCAGTTTAAATTAAATGAAAAACAGTAGAAATTGTTGCCCTGAAATATTTTGGAGGCAAGTTCATATGACCTCAATAGATCAAACAGTAGAAATTGTTCGATTAAATAAATGGAAAGTATGCATGTGCAGAACTCCAGCTAGTTTTCACACTCATTGTACGGCTTCTCAAGCTATTATTATCCGAGTTATTTCCTTTGTATATAGAACCATAATCACTTCTTGGTTGGTCAAGGCCCTTAGTTTTCTTGAGTAGATTTTAGCGCATGACATATAAATTTTGGTTTTTTTTTGTATTCTGTTCTCACTATATATCTATACGAATTTTCAGAGAACAAATTTGGTGGAGGGCTTAGATTTAGTCCATATGAACTTCTTCTTCTTTTTTTCTTTTTTCCATTGATAATTGTTAAATGAGATTTAATGTCCTTATTATCTATCCTTAATATGAGGCTTGATGTAATTAGAGGATGCATTGATATTGAGAATGGAGGATGTAAAAATATTTTACAAGGATGTAAATCTAATGTTTGTGTATTAATTATCTTTTCCTATTTAAAAAATAATCAATCTTGATAAAAATCAAGGTAGTGGAAGTTTCAAGAACTTAAAGAAACAGATTTTTAAAAAATGATTGAAAAAACATGTATTTCTTTATTTGTTTCGAAATAGATGCCTTGTCAAATATTAATTACCGGTGTGTGTGCGTGTATTTTGCATGGTGTACAACGCTGGCCTAGCTTGTTTATAATTGGAAGCTTACAATTAATAGCAGCTAGGTATAATTAAGGAGGCTTAATATGTATACCATGCATGTCCAAATCAACTTTTCGAAATCAATTCCAAATACTGATCATCTAGTATTAATAGAGCTTTAAAATCATAAAGCCTAAAGAGATTAAGAGTACTGTAAATAGATGATAGAGGGATGCTCACCAATTCCATAACAGCCAAACAACCTCTCCAACGCGACAACAAGATCCGAATACTCTTTATGCATGCCCAAATCAATTTTTCGAAGAAAAGGAGCTCCATCCATGCTTACTTTCACGTAAATTTTTGAAGTTTCATGGCGATCTCTCTCATTGAAACTAATGTTTTTGCGATACGAACAAACTGGTGGCCACCCCACAACTTGACTCTTTGTTTGAACTTTTCGGTCATCGGTTGTGCTGTTTGCTTCGCCGGACACCTCAGAGAAAACCCTTTTCTTGTCATTTTTATGTCCATCATCGCTGCCCGGTAGACCCAATCTTAGCTCTGTGATTTCAAGTCCAAGAGGTTGTGCCATTTTCTTTTCTTGGTGATGGGCAAAGGTTTCAAAGGTTTCAGAATGTTATATAGTTTGTTAACTCTATAATTCTTGGTCGCAAAAACGGTTTATCTGTGTAGAAATAAATCATACACAAGCAGAGAGAAGAAATCAAAGGAAGGACCAAGTGGGAGCAATGACAGGTCAAATAAGGCTCAGTTGTCGGTCACATGAGGGACAGAAGTGGGGACTCTATGCCTCCTAAAACCTGAAAACACAATTAACGGCCAGCACCATAAGTTGGATATGGGACACATCTAGTGGCTCTTAGGTATGAGGTGATTTGGTACTATTTACCTCAGCCGTCTGATTTGGTGAAGGGAAAACAGACCATGTGATTTGCTATATTGAGGGGGCTTGAGCAATAAATTATGAAAAAAAGTACTACAAATTCTTAGCATGATACAAGGGCAGTTTGTTTTGTAGCATCCGTGTCCACCTAATGTTGCTCATGGTTAGTCAAATATTAATCATTAGTGTAATATTCTTCAATCTTTAAACTCAGAACCTAATTCAGATTTCTTTTTTTAGTTAATTTAGCACGGCATCTCTCCCATGTTTGAGTGGTCACCGAAAAGCAGAAGTCTCAGATCGAAACGAGATGTTGTGGAATTCGGGAGATCTGTTGCATCAAGGCAAGATGTTGAGATGTTCGGAAGATAATCGCTTGAGATCTACAATAATCTTAATCATGGTAGAATATGGACAAAAATGTTCTCAGGACATGGATAATTGCATTTTTCATGCGATTCTTTTTCTTTTTTTTTGTTAGTCGTTTCTTATAATTTGTACTTGATTCTAATTAGCAGACATATAATAATGTTTGTTAGATATTGTCTTTAATTATCTATGATTTGGAAACACACATGCATGATTTCATGTCTATGGCATGAAGTTATTCATCATCTCGTTCAACTTGCAACAATTATATGGCCATGTATGCAACCTTGCATATGGTTAATGTTGAGGAAACACTATGGCATAGGCAACAAGAATGGAAGAAATTGTCTTGCAAGTAGGACCGATATATGCATGGGAACTTCCAGCAAAGTCATCCCTGCAATTTACAGGTGCACATCAACTCCACAACCGCGTCAACTGTTGTTGTCTAAAACTACCTATTGTACTCCATCATGCGTGCCCTAGCTGGAAAGAATGCAGTCCACACTGTCATTTTCTCGGAACTTTTTTTTTTTGAAAAAAAGGAAAAGATTTTAAACATTCTTATAAGTTTCATTGCTTCTTTTTTGGTAGATAGCTAGATTTATCTTCATATAATTGATCTAGAATTTAATATTTCCCTAATTGTACTTATTATATAGTTATACAATAACTAATTATCCATTGTGTCCTATCATGAGAATTTGAATGTTTAGTTTATAGTCATTCAATATATAAGATTATGGTAAATTTATAATCATAACAAAAGACTAATATGCTTAGTACAGGTATAAACTTGCATAAAGATTGAAATTCAATCATAACATGCATAATAATCATTCATAGAATTATACATAAGAGAATAAAACTAATTCCTAGCATAGATTCTAAGCATGCATATATTAAAAATACACTTAAATAAAATCAATACAAATATTTACTTGTTGAAATACTTAACACATAATTACTTTGAAATTTATTATTATTGTCAAGAATCACTCTTTTATCCTTAAAATTTTATTGCTTCTTACTTGGTGCAAAAGGATTGACCTCTCAGGATTCCAACACTAACTTATTTATGTGCACGTCTAAATATGGTACAACACTAACTTATTTATGTGCACATCTAAATATGGTCCAACGAATTCAAAGAAATTTGTGCTTAATATCTATTTACAAAGACCAAACATCAACTCTAAATTATGACAAGATTAAAATGGAAAATTAAAGTTTAAAAATAAAGAGAATAAGGTGGAAAATTAGGTTGAAGAATATTCTAAATTTTGATAGAAATTCGACCTAAAACAATGCAGAAAAACCAACCTTCAATTATTTTTTTTCAACCCTTTTTTGCAGAGAACTTTAGAAACCAAAACTGATGGGATTCCTTCCACTATTAGCTTTGATTAAACTATACAAAACATGAATGTTTTAGCTTTAAATCAAATATCTTTTGAGTTGAAAGAACCAGAAAAGTTAAGGGAAAAATCTTATGGAAGAAAACTAATCAAATTCTACCGTTCATGGACTAAACTTAAAAAAATAGTGGGTCGGAAAATTAATTCTTTTTGGACTAGAGAATTATAAACTAAAATCCAAGTCCAAATTATGCTAACAAAGTGTAATCTTTTATAGCCCAAAATATTATTTTATAGTAAAATCAAAACCAAGCCTAGGATCCAGCACGAGCACTACTACAAAATTAGAAAATTACAAGTAGAAACACCTATGAAATTTGTTCATCGGTATATTGTGATGACCTTTACCTGTAAAATTTTTTATCCTTGGATTCATCGGTAAACACCAATAAAGAAATTCCCTTAATATATAACGAAGGAATTGCAATGAGAAAATAAGGAATGAAAAGCAAGTCAAATAGTACGATAATGTGTAACTTTTACAGACGACATTACCAATAAAATCACCCAACATAAAGTACATCTGTAAATATGCTAATAGAAAAATTTTCTCATTATATACCGAGGAAATTACGAAGGGTATTATAGTGGGTTTAAAAAAAAATTACATGGTAACATGATATTTTTACCAATAGAATGACCAATGGAATTACTGATGGAATAATTTTATTGATAATGTTATCGGTAATATTTAATTTATGACTTGGCAATTGACCCTCATATTCCCCTCCCCTATTTCTCTTTCTTCCTTATGCAATTTTTTTTTTTTTGCAGCAAATAGCAACCCCCTCCCTCCTAATCTTAACACAATTCAACATCTCACAATAAATCTGGCTACCACAAAACTCAATTGGTCAAAATTTATGTTCTGATTCAAATTTTATTGAGAATTCTCCATTTTATGTAAACAAATCGACTTTTTTTTATTTGAACTCAATTTTAAAATGTTAATTTTGTTGGCATATTTTTTTAGTATATGTATTTTATTTGGGTGCTTACTTTTTTTATAGTTTTTTCTCATATAAATTTGTTGTATGGATTTATGATTTGTACATGTTAGGGTTTGTTTTAGATTTTGTAAAATTGTATTTTTTTGTAAATTGATGAAACTTATGTTGAATTTTTGAGTTAGGTGTTTTGTGATGAAATAAATAATAGTTTATTTAACAAATCCGTTTTATATTTTGTTAATTTTATTGACAAGTTAAAATTTTCAATAAATGTGTAGAAATTTGAATTTATATAGATAATTGATTATAAAGTAAAAGTACTATTAAAACAAATTGAATAAGTTTGAGATAAATCAATATTTTTACAAATTTATTTGGTTAATATAGTTAATTGATACATGTTTTCATCATTATTTTTTATAAGTTTGATATAAGTAATGGATGATCATTCATTCATATATATATAGATATATAGCTTCACCCCAAGGATTGTAGATGATGGATTATTGTAATGGGATTTAAGGTTTTATTAATTATACACTATTTAATTCGAGAAATATTAGTGGAAAGGGTATTAGATATTCATGCAAGAGGTGTAAAAAGTAATTTTCTCGATCTAAATGTTGTAATGATACATCTTGTACAAAAGGGGTTCATGAAAAAATATTTATGTTGATATGTACACGGAGAACCATATGTTCCTTATAATACCATGGTAGAAAGGATGGTTAGGTCAACTTCTAGTTCTAACAACGTGCATAGAGTTATATATGACAATAGTAATTCTCATAAGAATATGATTATAGATGCGATAAGAATGAATAAGGGTCATGCTGGTCAATGTTTAGTTATAGATAAAGAACCTAATGCAAATGTAACTAGAATTTTTTTATCTTATAAAAGGTTTTGATAAACTATTATGAGATGGTTGCATAAATTATAGTATATTACTGATTGTTGCACAGGTGTTCACTATCTAGTCAGATCATGGGCTAGATCATGGGTTAAGTGAGGCTAATTATGAAAAAAATTCAGAACAGACAAGAAGCGTTTTACTTGAAGGGAACAGACTGAAAGAGAATTTCTACATTGTTAAGTCCATGATGAAACCTTCCAGTCTAGTATACCAGAAAATTGACATGTGTCTAAACTTCTACAAGTTGTATAACTTGAAAATTTAGAGTTCACTGAGTGCAAAATATATGGGCATTCTTGTTATTAACCCATGACTAGCAGGGGAAGGACTTTTGTCGCACACAAAAAACTTAGAAACTTTCTAATCACATCTAGATTGTAGAGGTTATTTATATCACTAAAGACTACTGAGCACATGACATGGCACTTATCATGTGATATGATAGATGGAGTGATGATGTATCCTTCCAATGGTAAAGCCTGGAAACACATTAATAGTGTGCATCCTCAGTTTTCATTGGATACAAGGAACATGCATCTTGATGTATATACAGATAAATTCAATCCATTCGAGTCATTAGTTGCTCCTTATTCTTGCGAGCTAGTTATACTCATGGTTTATAATTTTCCATCGAGGATGTGTATGAGACCGAAGTTCATTTGTTATATACGGTCATAACCATTCCTAATAGTCTAGGTCAAAATATAGATGTTTGTCTTTGACTATTGATTAATGAGTTAAAGCAGTTATGGTCATCTAGGAATTTGACATATGATGCATCAAGGAAACATAATTTTCTGAGAAAGACAGCTTTGAAGTGGACTATGAATAATTTCTAGCTTATAGAATGGTTTTTGGTTGGAGCATGCATGTAAAACTAGAAGTATATATTGTATTTAAAACAAAATGGCATTCCCACTAATAAACGATAGTAAAGTGTCTTTTTTTATTACCATCAGGAGTTCTTGTTAAAGAATCACTAGTTAAAAAGGAATAAAAAGTCGACAATCCTACTTACGAGTGGTATGACAATCTTAAGCTCGGGTCCATGTTGGAAACTTCTTTGTTGGTAGAGTTGAAGGGGATGTTGCACCGCCACTTCTTTTAGGTGAAGAATTGTATGATGTGGTGTCGGAATAAAATGACATTGTGTTTGATTTTCAATCTGGTAAGTAGAAGTTTTCTAATTTTGGTTTGACCCATAATTGTCTAAAGTGAAGTATATTTTAGGAATTTTCTTATTGGAAGACTTATCTCCTTAGCTATAACCTTGATATCCTAGACATAAAAAAATGTATTTGATAACATTTTTAACATAGTTATAAACGTGAAGAGTAAGACAAAGGACAACATCAAGACTTGAATGGATATAACTTTGTTTTGTCACCATAAAAATATGGAGTTGGTTTATATTGGGTCACGAGTCGCAAAGCTCAAGGTCAATTTTGCCTTAGACAAGAACGGGCAATTACTTGTCTACCAATAGTTTAAAAGTCTACGTTTTCTCTATGAACATGCCTTGAACATATCAAGATTGGTGAATTTAGAGAATTGCAAATTGTATAGAATGAAAAGCTATGATTGCCATATATTTATGCAAACACTCATTCCATTAGCTTAGTAGGACTTATTGCTAAAAGGATATGAGATGCACTCACGAAGATTAGTTACTTCTTCAAAGAAATATGCTCCAACAAGTTGCAGACATAATACATAGAAAGGCTTGAAATGAATATCGTCTAAATAATATGTAAATTTAAGATGATATTCCTTCTATTTTTATTTTTTTTTTACTCAATGAAGCATCTACTAATACATTTATTGTTTGAAACCAAAAGTTGAAGGTCCAGTCTAATATAAATAGATATATTCATTCATGAGGTTAGGGATTACATATGCATC